CCACTTGAGCCACAGCACCACTTCCGGCTTTTTTTCTTTTTTGCTTATGTAGTGCTGGGGAATCGAACCCAGAGACTCATGCATGCAAGGCAAGCACTCTACCACTGAGCCACCTTCCCAGCCCCTATTTTTCAGAATCTTGGGCTAACTTAGCCCCATCCCGGCCTTGGTATGCACTATGCTTGATCAAAATTTTTACTTTTTTTTTTGTCTTAACTAGGCATATCTTAGCTATAATTCCAGCACTTGGGGGGCTAAGGCAGGAGAATCAGAATTTAGAGAACAGCTGGGGCTTGATACCAAAATCCTCTCAAAAAAAAACATGGATATGGATATGGATAGCTTAACACTTGCCATAATTGTTATTTTCCTATATTACTGAATCCAATTTTATAGAATTGTATTTAGTATACTCTCTTTTGGAGCAGTTGGGTTTTGGTATCAAAATAATGTTCATTTCAAAAACAATGTAGAAAACTACAACATTTTGAAATTTACAACACTATTAAAATTAGACTGTCTATTTTAGAAAATATGAAGGAACTCAAAGATTCACAGTATTTTTGGAAGTTTTTCATTGATTATTTTCAATGTTTCTATTGTTACAGGCCTATTTAGTTTACAACCCATCAATAATTTTCACATCGCTATTATATCTGTGAAATTTCTGTAAGATTTTTTAATATTTACAAAGGTATAATTATAGAACTATCTTTAATTTTGGAAAATTTCATTGCATTTGTTTTTATTCATTTCTTATTGAAATTTCATTTATAATTCATCTCTGTTTTCTTGATTAAATTTGCTGGAGGCTTATCTATTTAATTTATTCCCTCCAAAAAAACGTAGCCTTTGGCATTATATTATATTGGATTCTTAGTCATGTAATTTCATTCTCCATTTTTAATTATAAAATATTTAAGATTGTGAATTTACTTCTGAATACTGATCTCAAAGTATTGATAAGCCATGATCTCATATTTTAGTATTTTATTAGTATTCTAGTGTCTTTTTAGCTAATACTTGCATATAAATGAGTTCTGATATAATCATGTTGAAGATCTTAGTTTAATTTGTTTATAAATTTGTAAACAATTTATTACCATCAGAAAAAAAAAGTAATTTCTACTCAGGAGTTTGTAAAATTTGTGGCATAACATGATCATTTTTAAGTGATCATTAAATATTTAAAAAGAGCATGTATGCACTGTTAAATATAATTTTTGAAATTTAGTAATTAATGAATTATGTTTTCATCTCCTCTCAGTATTCATGTTTCAGTGTGCTCTACTGTCATAATCCACCATATAGGCAGTCCCATAATTTTTCCTTTTTGTACTGCTAATAGTTTTTCTTTGTATATTTATATATTTAGATGACATATTTTTGTAAAAAATAGTTTATCCTCTATCCAGCTGGTATCTTCCATCAATATAAAGTGTATCTTTTTGAGAACAACATGGTTCTTGTTCCTGACCCGCTCAGATGTCTATTTAGAAAACGAATTGATTGGAAGGAGGTAGACTGAATGCTGAGAAACCAGTGGGAAGGCTCTTAAAATAGTTCAGGTGAGAAATCATGAGTGATTGGGTTAAGACAAAAGCAACAGAAAGCTTTTTAGCAGATTAGAAACATCCAGACTTGAAATTACTTGAATCCGGGGCTCAGGCAAGGGAGAAGGTTGTATGGCACCTAGATTTCTAAGTAAATAATCATTATTTCAAAGGCAATACAGGAGGATGAGCTAGGCTTGCTTTTCAAAATAGGGCATCTTCTAAAGTTGCTTCTCTTTAGGTTCATTCTCAAAGGACTTAAGCCAAGACCTAAAGCCCAGTATTGGATCATTGTCAGTCAATTACTTACTCAAACCAAAGGCATACCTTCCTTAAAAGAAAAAAAAAAAAACTCTAGGCTGAGTGTTCATAAACTAAATGAACTTGAATTATTTTATGTGTCAATTTATGAAGAACAGAAAACTTTGTCATAAATTTAAGGCGGGGTGACTGGGGAGGGGGAGGGAGGTGGGAAGAACCTTGTTGGAAACAAGAAGGAATGTCCAGATGAAGGTAAAGTTTTCCACAAGAGGGCAGCATCAGCTCATGAATTATGCAATGAAGGCCTCCACCAATAGGAGCAGAGATAAATTTTACAGATTCAGGGACCCATAGGACCTGCTACACCATGAAAACCAAAGGGACTTGGAGGTCATAAACACAGCTATTCCTAAGTGATTTGTAGTGGCAATTTTGCTACAGAGGGAAAAAAAGATTGGGAATTCCTCAAGGAAGAATGAGTGGGTAAAACTCAGGAATTTAGCATTCCGGTGAAATTGACTCAGTAGCCACTGGCAAGCTGTCCTTGCCCACTCAAAGTGCAGCTATGTATGGCCAGCATCTCACAAGGGAATTATTTCCACCCCTAATGGTTTCCCAGCAAGAGATTAGGCTTCAAAGCATACTACATTTCTGGTATACTCCCTATTTAACAATGTTTGCTTCCTCCACTGCAGTTGTGATTCATTTATTCAGACAAAGGAACAGAACTCATTATGTGAAAGGCATTATGCTAGGATAGAATCTGGGAGTAGTGTATATGGGCCTATTGGACTCCCAAATAAGAATTCTTATTGAGCCCCATCTCCAAGAAGTTCCATTTAAAACCAAAATCACCAATCAAAGGGCTAGAAAGGTAGTTCCTTAGTTACTGAACATGCACAAGACCCTGGATTCCATCCATAGCACCACAAAAACAAAACAAGACTGCATCAATGATATACTTTTTGCATAGTATAAAGCACTACTGAATATATCATTCCTGTTCAGGTACATACATGGGCAGGCATGGCTTAATCTTAGGTACTGGTAGATAATGTAATAAACCAGTGGGATGCTATATCCCTCCCCTTCCTAAACTCAAATCGTTTTGGGGATAAATTATTTGGATATAGAATTGAGAACAATGAAGAAATTAAGGTCTGTTTCTGGCTTGGTTAACTGAGTGTATGGTCACCAATGTAAGGAGCTGGGTAAGGGGAGATGATGTGCTAGGTTTTGAGCACATTGTGCTTAAAATGCTTCAGAGACACATAAGAATATACATGCAGTAGAAAGTTATTTATATGATTCTGTTATGGTAGAGAAATATGATTTCCCATAGCATATGAATGAAGTTAGAAAGAAAGAAACTACAGAAAATGCCAGCTTTTACAGGATGGTAAGGAAAATAATAGGTAGCAAAAGAACCTATTTTTTTAATGAACTTCCCAGATTCAGTGGCTCATACCTGTAATCATTGTTACTTGGGTAGGAGAGATTAGGAAGATCATAATTTGAGGCTAGCCCAGGCAAAAGGCTGGGCTACAAAATGAGCATGGTGATAGATAGCTACAATCCCAGTTATAGGTGATGCCTAAGTAGCAGTATGGTGGTCTCAGATTGACCTAAGAAAATGAAATAAAATAGACCCTATCAGAAAAGTACCTTACGCAAAAAAGGCTTGGAGGCATAGCTCAAGTAGTGGAGCACTAGCTTATCAAACATAAGACTTGGAATTCAAACCCTATTACACCCAGAAAATAAAGTAGACAAAGAAGGAAGAAAACAACAGGTTACAGGCTATCACCAAAGTAAGAATTTCATTCAATGATGTCAAGAGCCATCATATATTTTGCCATATATAAATCATAGATGGTGAAGATTGAAAATAGTTTACTGGTTTTGGAAGCTAAGAGATAAAAAGGTGTGTTCTGGGAGTCATTTCAATGAAGTTTGGGGAGCCAAATTCAAACTGCGGGGGTTGGAAAGCTAAACGGCAGGCACAAAAGTAGAAGCTAAGTATACATCAAAGGAAGAAAATAGAGCAGCAACCAGAGCAAGAAGTAACCTTTTTTTTTATAAATTTTATTTTATTGTAAAGATGCTGTACAGAGGGGTTACAGTTACATGAGCAAGGCAATGAGTACATTTGTAAGAAGCAATCTTATAGGATATTGCTTTTATAATTTTGTCCCATAAAATAATTAAGATAATTTTCTAAAAAAATGATAATTAAGATGGAGAAATGTTGGCATGTGCATAAGGTCAAAGGAAACCATCCCATAGAAAATGAAAAAAATCTAAGCTCCAGCAATGTAAAGCAAAGATACAGCAAGAAAATGAAAGAAAGGCAGGAATAGTTGGATGGTAATATGTGACGATTGGGCTTCATCATCAACATCACATACAATATGGAAAGCTTTCTAATGGGAAGATACTTTGGTGGCAGCAGAATGACTGTCTTCAACTGTGTTTTTCCTTCATCAATCTCACACCATTCCATTTACTTGTAATGTCTCCCTTTCCGATGCTTTAGTGTTCAAATTCTACCCACTTTTTAGCTCAGATTCCACCTCCTCTTCTCTCTCAAGCCCATCTGAAGTGATCTCTTTTCATAGGAATAGAAATAGGAATTTCTGTCTAAACAATCCCTTTGACAATCACACACCACCCTGTGAAACCTCCTTTAATACTTTCTTTTAAAAGGTGCTGCTAATAAACTTAGCACAACTGTGCCTTTTTCTTCCCTGTCAGACTGTACACTCCTTGGGGACAGGTTTCTTACAGTTTACCCCAGACTCCAGACTGCCTGCACGAGTTGGCAGCAGGATGTGTTGAAATGTCTGTTGATATGTAGTTGAATAGCAGCCACCCATTCTGAAAGAGGAGACCAAAAAAAAAATGGCCCTTGATCTGTACTGAGACACCCAGTTCTCCGAAAAACAAATAAAGAAACCAAGTCTTTACAGAAACAAAATAAATTGATGAAAAGTGGGTATGGCTAGTACGAAGCAATGTCAGGCTTTAAAGCTCTTGTCCTCTTCATTTTGCTTCATTTGTTCTACAAAAATTAGGATCATTATGAACTGCCTCTCTCCTAAATGATAATGATAAAGATGTGACTCTATTAAGGCTTTATCACCAACCAAGCAGTTTTAGTAGCCTCTTGAACAGTCTGTGCCTTACCTCCTCACAATCAGCTTGAGGATCCGAAAAGAGCCTTTGATGAGGATCAGGGCCTCTTGGCGGGAGCCATACAATGGAGTGCCATTAATATTCACCAGCTCATCACCAGTCCTCATCTTCTGGGACAAGGCTGCCTTGCCTCCATCTTCGATCTGTGTTGTAGAGAATAAAACAGAAAGCAAGTGGTGAGGGGACTTCTTCCCCATTAATTCTACTTTCTGGCTCCTCCCAACATTGGAGTCACAAATAGGACTGGGGAATGGCTCCAGGCAGCTCCGGAGCAGCTGAGGAGTTGATCACAGGTCATTGTTTACTGAAAGCAAAGGTTGGGCAAGCCCTTGAGGAAAGAGGTGACACAAATAATGCAATCCCTGCCTTGAGGAATGAACAGTCCATCTGGGAAGACACGCACCTCTAAAAAAGCAAAAGGTGCTTTGGAAGGAAGCTCACAGGGTGGCAAAAGTAGCAGCGAAGCATTGTACAGGGTGCACACAAATGAAGAGAGCCAAGCTCCAGTATGAGTTGCCAATTCTTTTCCTATCTCTGGGAAAGCTTTGGAGTCTGATAAACTTGACTTTGAATTCTGGCTCTACTATTTTTCATCTCTGTAATCCTGAGCAAGTTACTATGTCTCAGTTACCTCAATCTTAAAGTATAGATCATAAGAATATCTACTTCACAAGGTTATTGATGTATGAAGTTGTTAGGAGTGGTGACTTCTTAATAAATATAAGCAAGGATTCAAGAGAAACAAGGGAGTCAACACTGAAAGACCTTGAAGATGACCCACTACGGTATTCTGAAAGTGGGACTGCAAGTTCAAAAGATACATAGTTAGGTACACAGAGAGTAGTTACCATTTATCTATGTCTCTTCAAGTTCCCAGCATAGCATTTCTAGTATCTGCCACCCAGAGGGCACTCAGCAATAATTGGGAATGCAGAGGATTTACTTTCCACATCCTACACATTTCCATTGACCAGGGAGGGCAGTCCGTGTGAGAAAGTTTTCAGGCTGGAGTTATGGAAAGCAAAGGCAGAGGTAAGAGCCTGAAAGGTAGGTAAATGCAAATCAGAATGTCCCCAATGGGTCTTGCTAATGGCCTATTTTACATGCAACATTCCATTTATTACAAAGGCGAGTTTTCTCCTTATTAGACCATGGATTCCATCCAGTGTCAGGAGTTGTCTCATCACCCATGAACTCATTCTTCAAGTATTCAGTGAATTTTTATTATGTACAGGGCAACATACCAAGTGATACAGTAGAGCAATATAGAATGAACACAGCTCCCTGCTTCTAGCATCAGAAGGAAATCACTGGCTGATGTCACTGTGTCCACTGAGATCCAACCAACATAATCAGGAGTGTTTTGGTTGGTATATAGGGGACAGAAGAGTTAAGGATGATTAAATCATGCAGTCCTTTTCTGTCATTCATTTTTTTTGAGTGTTTATTAATTGTACCAATGGGTTTCACCATGGTATGTCAGATGTACATATATTATATTTTAGTCAGAATAACTCTCTCCACATTGATTTCTCTTTCCTTGCCCTTTATTGATCAACAGCTTTCACTGTGATTCTATATGCTATCTTCATAAGGGGTATCAGTGGGAGGGGGGAGGGCAAGCAAAGAGGATAAATGGGGATGAATATTTGCATATCTGCAAACAGACCAATGAAAACAATTGAAATTGTTTTAACAATGAGGAGAGGGCAAGGGACAGTGATAGACAGGATGAGTTTGATTGGACCACATTCTATGTATGTATGGAAATGGCACAAAGAACTACCATTTTGTACAACTAATGTATGTTAATTTAAAAATCATATAGACCTTAGGAAAAACTATATTCTTAATGGGGCAACTAAGAATTGATTTTTGCTGAAGGTGTGTATATGCTTTCTACTGTTGTTCTAATATTTCTCTCAGAATTATATAGCACCCCCTAAATTTGTCCCCACCCTGCAGATGTTAGTATAACACTTTAGATTGGGTAGCTTATGTGCAATTTGGCAGACAACAGCTCTGAGTTCAGAGGGAGATGTTCATTCAAGAATTTTTAAACTCCATCAAAGAAACTGAACGAAGTTAAATGGATTGCTATTAATTTAACATTTTGTTGGTGGTGGTGGTCTTTGCGCTTGAACTCTGGGCCTGGGCACTGTCCCTCAGCTCTTTAGCTCAAGGCTAGTACTCTACCACTTGAGCCACAGTGCCACTTCCAGTTTTCTGGTGCTTTATTGGAGATAAGAGTCTCACGGACTTTCCTGCCCAGGCTGGCTTTGAACCCTCAGATCTCAGCCTCCTGACTAGCTCGGGTTACAGACATGAGCCACCAGCACCTGACTTTAACATTTTTTTTAAATTAACCTTTGTGTGACAAATCATAGGCTAGCCAAAAGACATTAGATATACTTTTGATCCCACTTCTAGGCCACTGCTCTAGACAAAACAAACCAATATTGGTAAATAGGGGGCAACTCTCAGTAAATTAATCAGCATTATACTTTTACTTCCATTGTCATTACAAATACTGCTGCCTGCAGGGAAAAGCAAAGCAAAGGGCCACAGTTGAACTTCAGAAGTTGTCTTTGAGTGACTCATTCTTTTAGCATCCTTGGAAGGCCCTCAGCACCAGGCAGAACTTTAAATATGGAGGATACAATGAGACCAGCCATTTGAAATGGCTTTCTGAACCAAATAAAAGACCACAAATGGGAACCTGTTGATTGATTGATTTTGATTGATTGAGGCAGTACTAGGGTTTGAACTAAGGACCTCACTTTGACTTGGCTTGCTTGCTCAGCTGGATTTCTACCGCTTGAGCCACACCTCCAGCCCTGCTTTTTGCTGGTTATTTTCAGAGGTGGTACTTGAGAACTTTTCTGCCTGGGCTGACATCAAACCACAATCCTCTAGACCTCAGCCTCCTGAGTAGTTTAGGATTTCCAGACAAGAGCTACCAGCATCCAGCTACAAATGAGAGAATCTAACTAATGAATGCTAATAAATTTCTCCTGTTAATGTTCACTATCCTCACTTTTATTCATACAACTGAATTATCTATATTTCTCTTATCCATAGCAAGTTTTCCCTTTAACAGGTATTATATTTCTAAACTTATTTGTTAAATGCTAACTCCTTTATGCAACTACTTAAAGATAATAATAATACTTTTTAAAGTAAGTGCCAACTCTGGTTAAAAAAAGCACTCAGTTCCATCAGCAAGATATCTGTTTATTCTAGGCCAAATACAAAAACCATGTAAACTAAAATGATCAATTCCTGCTCCAACAGAAGCTCCAGCAGGCATTCCCTCCTGTCACTTTAGCTGATACTTGCAAATCCTAGCAGAGATTGTCTTGAACTCTAGCTATTGCCAATTGTGCCTTTCTCTGTTCCAAGGCACTTTCCAGTCACCAGCAGCATCTTCCTCAAGGAAGACATGTTAAATGCAATAATGCCACTTAAGTACAAGTATGAAAATGTTCTGGCAAGGGACTTTTGGTAACCAGCACAATCCCAGAGCCTCGGTGGGTCCATATCAGGAAAAGAGATTCCATTCGATGAAAGATCTCCTGGACTAGACCTCAAACAAATCTTTACCAGATGCAGGGTGTTTACTGACCTGTACATCTTCTGACTTCTTACTCCTCCCTACATATTTTCCCTTTTAGTGTTTTTTGCTCACTAGTCCATCTTCTCCCCTATATCTTCATTCCTGAGATTCAGTCTTCCATTTATTGTTTGGCCTCCTGACAGTGAGTTCTTCAGGTCAGTGGCTCAACCATACATCTGTTTACATAGAAGACAAAGCAAATGTTCATGTTCCTTGCAAGGAGAAGGTAAGAAAAGGAAGAAGAATAAATCAGAGAGAGGAAGGGAAATTCTATAATATGCTTTATTCTATAATATATTACATATATTATATAATTATTACATATACTTATATAATTAATATAATATATTATGGAATATATTATATACAATATATTATATGTGTTATATATAATATATTATAATTATATATCATATTATAGAATAATTATTATATTCTATATTATTCTATGATATACCCTATTCTATGCTTTAAATATATTTAAATCTTGATGTATTTTTAAATATGTGTATACTTTAAAGATTTTACAAGTTTACAAAGCTGTGTTTTTCCCCTTTCTACAACTCTTTGTGGGGTCTGTATAACATCATAAGATGCTTGTCCATTCAGCCAGGCTGGCTCATTTTCCAGCTCTTCCTGAATCAGACCTTCAGGGTGGCTATCCTATTTCATTTGAAATGTTGTGAATTCTTAGATTTGAGCCAGATGTATTGGACTGTTGGTGTAAACACACATGACAAAGCTCAGTGTAAACGATGGTTAACTTATGTGTCATTTTGGATTATCCAAGTGATCACTGGCCTAGGTGAGTATCCCACGTAACTGAGAATTGATGGCATAGAGGTTATATAATCAAAAGCCAGATGGCGTCTAGAAAACGGGTAAGAGATGAATGACCTTGGACAAGTCACTTTCTTCCCCTACTGCCTCTCCTATCCTTACTGGTAAAATGTGGGGGCTTGACTAGATGATCTCCTGGAGCTCTGACAACCCTGGGCTTGGACAACTCTGACATTCAGTGACTTGTGAAGAGCTAGCAAAGTCATGCATTATTCTCCCGCTGACATAGATAATCCTGGCTTTTCTCCCCATTGTACTTTACCTTTAGCCATGTTTCACTCCTGCAAAACTGACTAATTAGCAGCCATCTCTCAACTCCCTTTGGTCTATCTTCACTGTTTCAGAGTGGTCCACCAATGCTGGAACACTTAATAAGGCATAGTTGGGACAATGGGAGAAAAAGATTACTGAAGCCCCATTTTGTGCTAATGAGCTAGCAGTCTGGAGATGTTTGATGGGTTTCCAATGAAGCATGAAGTTCTCTGATAGCTGTCAACAAAGTGACAGGTTGGACCTTTGAGAGTAAAAGGCAAAGAAAAATAGGATTGGCAGGACCAACTGGCTTTCTAGTAGCTTCTATTTAATCAGATATAAGCAGATACTTGCTGTTTCTTCTGAATATACTTAGGAGATATACAAAAATGAATGGATGAAATACTAGATAAGATATATATTTTAACTGAATTT